GACCATTTCCAGTTACAAACTTGATTCATCTTTGAATATTGAGCATTTGAACTTTTTTAACTTTTAATTATTTAGTGCTTGTGTTATTAATTTATAGCGTCACTTTGTATTTTACGTTAACTCCTTTAATATTCTTGATTGTTAAGTGTTTCTTATCTAAATGTGATAAAACAGTTTTTATTTAGTTTAGTTTTATGTCAATATGTCTCGACCATGTATATATATATCAAAATGTAATAAAGTGAGACCATGAAACCCATATTGAAATTTCACAGTCATATTCTTACATTAGTAGTTACTCAACAAAGATCGAAATATAATCAGTTTAAACAACAGATAAAGAATGAGAGATCTGCCAAGTAACAGAAGATAAGAATTACACAATTGTCAAATATTCCGCAAGTTGTTGTTGTTTGTTATTATGCACAAAGCTACAAAAAGGGCTATCTGTGCTCTACCCACCACGGGTATCGAAACCCGGCTTCTAGCGGCCTAAGTCCGCAAACATACCGCTGTGCCACTGAGGGGAGGGGCGCAAGGTAAGAGTAAAACTCTAGTAACAGTCAAGAAGTTAAAAGTACATGTCTGATATCAATACTAAAAATGTATAACTGTCAAACCGAAATATAACAGTAAAACACTTGTTGACCACCGTTAAGTCAGAACAGTTGCATTTTCTAGGATTTTTATTAGGGGAAGCTTAAGGGGCAAATAGTTTTTGTATGGTCAGGAAAAATTAATACTCATGTCAGTGGGACTCACAATGTAGAGAATTTAAATATCTTTAAAAAATTATATCTCATATGGGGGCTGCTGGATGGCAGAGCTTTCCAATGGGGGTACCCGCCCTTCGTCATCCCGATGGACACGCTCCTGAGGAAGAGTAACGACATTTCAGGTTCCAGAAGATAAAAAATATGTAGCTTGCTTACATAGGAGTTCAATTTGTTGTTAATCGAGCTACAGATGCTGAATTTTATGCATGAGTTTTAAGTGTCTAACGTTATTGCTGAGAAGGACAAATATGATGTGTCATTGCTGAGAAGGACATAGATGATGTATGTATACATTTTAGAATTACTTATTTACTACTATTTCAAAAACACAGTTGCATTTCGTAGCTACAAAAAAATAAAATACCAGCGCGTTTGACGCAATAGACGTGACTTACAAAACAAGAAACTTTAAATATAGGTTTACATTACATGTAGATTAAAGAATAAATCACAAGTTCGATAACTTTTAAACTAAAGCCAAGGCGTCTAATAAGAAGGATTATAAAAGTGAGATCCTCAGAAAGTATGTAAAACGTCAAGAGGGTTAGAGGGTCATCCCGATATGCGTGTGAAAGAAACCCACATAACGAGTTTCTTTTGTGTCCCGTCCAAGGGTACGAGCGTAAACATCAGTAAATTTCCAGGTGCATGGCTGAAGGAGTTCATGCACAACAGTTACATAGGTTCAGGCATAAACAACAACGGCATAGATTCATGTAACACTGTTCCCCACATAAGTTGCTTCACTATAATTAATCAGACAACACTCTTCCATGCACATATTGTAATTAACCAGACAGCATTCTTTCATGCACATGTTGTAATTAACCAGACAGCATTCTTTCATACATGCACACCGCTTCACTGTAATTAACAGACAACTATTCGATATACACACACACCGCTTCACTGTAATTAACAGACAACTATTCCATACACACACACCGCTTCACTGTAATTAACAGACAACTATTCCATATACACACACCGCTTCACTGTAATTAACAGACAACTATTCCATATAAACACACCGCTTCATTGTAATTAACAGACAACTATTCCATACACACACCGCTTCACTGTAATTAACAGACAACTATTCCATATACACCCACTGCTTCACTGTAATTAACAGACAACTATTCCATATACACCCACTGCTTCACTGTAATTAACAGACAACTATTCCATATACACACCGCTTCACTGTAATTAACAGACAACTATTCCATATACACCCACTGGAATAGTTGTCTGTTAATTACAGTGAAGCGGTGTGTGTATGGAATAGTTGTCTGTTAATTACAGTGAAGCGGTGTGTGTATGGAATAGTTGTCTGTTAATTACAGTGAAGCATACACACACCGCTTCACTGTAAGTAATCGGACAACTATCCCATACACGCAGACTGTTTATAAATGTTAATAATTAATAAAAAAATATATATTTCACTTTTTTTTTTACTATGAAGAATCTAATATTTTGTATTGTAAACTTTATAAAATTTATTTTACTTTGCACACAAAAGGTTTTCAAAACAAACTTAGAAAAACAATTACAATAGTTAATATTATTATAAACTTTCAATCTATTAACATACTGTGTTGGGTGAGTTAGATTGGAATTTCAAGTTTTCAACTGAACTAATTGTATTAACATATTAACAGTTCAAAATAATTGTAAACATTGAACTAAATGGATTAGCGCATTACTCCCCTACACCGTTAATACGTGAAGTAAGAACAAACTTAAAAAATTATAAAATAATTTAATTTGTGTCATATTAATAGTGTTTTCACGCGTGCGCACAATAGAGGTTTGTGTCATGCTTTCGGCGCTTCTTTATTCAAGAAGCCCGACATGGCCAGATGGTAAGGGCGCTCAACTCGCAATCTGAGGGTCGCGAGTTCGAATCCCCGTCACACCAAACATGCTCGCTCTTTCAGCCGTGGGGGCATTATAATGTGATGGTAAATCCCACTATTCGTTGGTAAAAGAGTAGCCCAAGAGTTGGCGGTGGATGCCTTCCCTCTAGTCTTACACTGCTAAATTAGGGACGGCTAGCGCAGATAGCCCTCGTGTCGCTTTGCGCGAAATTCAAAAACAAAACAAACAAACAATTTATTCAAGAGTTCATTCTCACAAACTTCCGGTTTACAAGTTCACTCTGGTAAGCTCTCTATTTAGAAGCTCACTTTCGCACTTAACTTAAACTTTCTATTTACCAATTTACATTCACACGTAACATTAAAGAAGATATTTACCAGTTAACACTTTAAAACCAGTCGAGTGAATTATTTGCAGATTTCATGTGTTATCAGCTTTTTATTCAAGTGGATATCCTAATGGTTACAAATGTTTTTCTACAAGAAACTTTCTAAATAGCTTCCCATTTTTTTCTAACCTGGGCGAAAAAAACGCACGTACGAAATACCCCACTTCCTCAACCGGTTCCCCTTAAAAAGCCTTCTTCAAGGACAAAACCAAACCTTACATTTTCTATTCGCAACGCATGCTCTTGGGAGCAGTGCGTTTCATAAGCTCTGTTGAAAAAAAAAAAAAAATGCAACCGGATATACGTGAGTATTGGGAAAAGACCATGATAAAATTGAAAGGAAACTGGGCTAATAAATAAAAAGAATAATCGTAAAATAGATACAAATTACGTACAAAACTAATCAATATGGCTAAATATCAATATTATTTAGCCATTTAGTAAACATATATAAATGTATCTGACGGTATGGTATCATCCGTGAGGTTGCTATAGTAACAAAACTAATCAATATGGCTAAATATCAATATCATTTAGCCATATAGTAAACATATATAAGTGTATCTGACGGTATGGTATCATCCGTAAGGTTGCTATAGTATACAGCTTAATATGACTAATCATAGACTGGTTTCCTGATAGAAGATCTAAAAAAGTTATGATACAATGTTATTGAGTAAAGCCCAATTTGTTTTATAAAAGGTATTAATAAGATACAGAGCTATATGGTTAACTATCCTCGCGTTTCTTTTGAACAAAATACAACGAATATGATTGAATTAGCCTTTCTTCATGTTCTTTTGAATAGAATATAGAAGTTACGATTAACAACGTCATTATTCACGTTTCTTTTGAATATAATACACAGTTACTATTGTACTGTACAACAAAAGATGTATCTAAGTTTTAACACGTGTTACTCAGAGGAACACATCATAAAGCAAAACTTTTCACGAAAAACGAAAATCAAACTCAAGAAAGTGCACACGAATCACTCAATAGCCCAGCTTACATTCAGGAAATGTGCAAACTGGTTCAAAGAGACTCACACTTCGTAGTTGAAAATGCCTTGTTTGTCTGGAAAACTTTTGAATCTACAGTTGTTTGTCTGGAAAACTTTTGGCGTTTGTAACTCAATAGCGGTATTTTGTATGAGAATCGATCGTAAACAGAAAATATTCGAGTACAATCTTTATACATATACTTAATATTTGAATAAGTTAATCTGTGCATATAAATAGTGCGTTTATACATGTGTTTTCTTATAGCAAAGCCACCGAGGGGAATCAAACCCCTGATTTTAGGGGGACGCATATAAATAGTATTTTGAGTTTCATAACAACAAGGCATTATTTATCTCCTTGAACTAGTTACAGAGAATATTTTCATTGGTTATGATCCAACAATATTTTATGAAAAAAAAAAAGATTGAACCTTATATTTGAAAGCTAAATAAACCATGAGAATCTTGAAACAATATTTAAATTATAGGACCAAAAATCGTTGAATTTTTATAACTAAACATATATAAATTTATATCAGCGAAAAATTATGTTAACAGTTTGTTTGTTTTATTGAATCGTGCGCAAAGCTACTCGAGAGCCATCGATGCTGGTCGCTCCCAAATTATAATTGATAGACAGCTAGTCAACAGCGCTCACTTCAAACTCTTCGGATACTCTTTACTAACGAAAAGTGAGATCGATCATCGCATTTTAATGTCCCTTCCAATGGCTGAAATAATGAGCATTATCGGTAACTGGATTCGAACCCGCGACCCACAGAGTAGGGAGCGAGCTCTGTAACTATTAGGTATTAGGTCAAGCCAGATGTTAATGGTTATGCAACTGTTAATGGTATTTTAAAAACATGGAAACGTTTAAAATATTTTCTTCTTTTTTAATTCAATAAATAAATCTAGAAAAAAAAAAGAGTAAAAATAGTCTTACCGGTTTTATTTTATATAACTTTCGTTAAATCTTCTTGAAACCTCGTAACAGAAGCAGTATGATCCTTTATTCACACCCAAACGCTGTACATTTAGGGAGTGTCAATTCTATTACTTGACTGACTGGTGTTTCGTGCATCATTCAAGGGCACTTGCCTTAATTTACGGTGGCGTTTAGCGCCATCTTTTCTCAGAGAAGTAAACTGCTGCACAACAGACACTGATCTTTTGCTCATCAAAAGTATGTTTGAAGATGGAGTTCAAAAATAGTTTTCATAAATTGATAGAAGCATTACATGTCGCATGGTATGCTAACTCATGTTTAGAGTTACTGTTTATAACACCACATGTAAATGTGCGTTAAAAAGAAAAATAAGTTTAATTCTTGGAAAATGTATATAGAACAAACTGTGAGTAAAACTTTTACCTAAGTCAGACCAGCAAAAATCAATCAGTTTATTTTTAAAATCTAAATTTATCGTTTAGTAAAAGGGCACTCGACTCGCAATCTGAGGGTCGCGGGTTCGAATTCCCGTCACTCCCAACATGCTCGCCCTTTCAGCAGTGGGGGAGTTATAAAGTGATGGTCAATCCCACTATTTGTTAGTAAAAGAGTAGCCCAAGAGTTTGGCGGAGACTGGTGATGACTAGCTGCCTTCCCTCTAGTTATTTACTGCTCAATTAGGGACGGCTAGCGCAGATAGCCCTCGTGTGCTTTGAGCGAAATTCAAAACAAACAAACCTTTAGTAAGAATGTGAACCAAATTACAAGGTTTCAAAAGTTTCTTGTTTTAGTGTACCATAATATCATCACGTTTAAGATGGTACAAGATAAGAATCGCCAGAGAGTTCTCAAAAGAATTTTGATATAAAGTGTGACACAATTTTTTCTATTATACTTAACTATACTTTTTCAGTTATTTATGAGTTTTTGGAAAAGTCAAAGTATACAAGGCTAAGGCCATACATATGATTAATTAGTTGAACATTGTTTGGCATATTGACCTCTAATTTTGTTCATGTAAAAGTAAATTATTACGATTATTTAGCTAAGTAGTAGAAATATGTAATAAATTTAACGAGTGTTCGATTTCGTATACCATTGACAACTGGAAGCATGTGATCCGAAACAACTAGCTGCTTTTACACATGAACTGATTTATGGTTTCCATAGCAAAGAGGTTGAATACTTATGCAATTGAGAATATTCTAATTTTCTTTGAAAATCTAACTTACTTACAAAATATCCGTGTGTTTTTTTTTGGTTTTTTTAGTTTTCTCAGTTTAGAGAGGATTGTGTAGATTATATATATATATATATAAAGTCACATGTGAAAGTTTAATGACTGCAAGCTGAGACGGCAACAAAATAAGGAAACTTCGCAAGGGGTGAATATTTTTACAAGACACTGTACCTATCACGTACTAACCACCTTCTAGTTTGTTTGTGTATTAAAAATAATGTTTTTAAATTTCGGCTTGTTCCTAGTTCAGAACTAGGAAAATTCAGTCTAATCTATGTTCAAAATTGGTCTTACTCTCTGGACTAGAACTATGACATGTGTAGTATCTTAAGTATGATGGTACTTAAAGTAGGGATCGACAAGGATTCCAAATAATTCACGCGACGAAAATCACCCTATCGAATTCCTAAGCGAAAAATTGACCATTCAAAGTATTGGTTACGATATATTATGTGCATATAACTGGTCTGTGGGTATCCTCTTTTGATATATATATATATATATATAATATAAATGGTAAACATCTCATACACTTACTGAAGTATATTTTCAACCCAACAGATGGCGCCACATATATGGATAGACATACGACAATTTCTAAAAGTAAAGTATATACTTTATACAGGTACAACATAAACGTTAGCAAAAAAGAGTAGTGAAAAATTGTGCATTTTAAAATCAAGTGAGAATCCTGCTATAAAAAGTTATGAAAAACAAGAATTAAAACAACAATCACAAATTTATAAATTTAATCCCTTGTTTGGCAGCTTTATACATTTATTAGTAGGTCAAAGTAAGGATTAAATTTTATGTAATAACTTCTGACTCACAATTTGCTTTGCCCAGCCATGAGGTCCTCTTGTGGGTCAGAGATACGTTTTACAGACAAATTAACGCTAAATTCTGGGGTTAGATTTCCCATGGTGGACAAAAAAGGGAGGCTAATATGGCTTTGCTCTGAAACAAACAACCCAGCACAGGAAGATCTAAGAACGAATTAAAAGATAAATATAAGAACTTTTAATTTCTTTTTATCGTATATGTCGTAAAGCATAATGAGGAAATTTGTAATGTATCTCAACTTTTTTTTCACAGCATTAAACAAATAAACCAGAAAAATTAAAATGGCGTTTTGTCAGAAAAAGCAACTTTAACTGTTTTCATAAATATAATTTATTTTATTATTATAAATCATTCATAGTGCGTGTAATCTTGAAAGTAATTCGTCGTATTTTTGAATGACAGGAAGTTCATACTACAGTAAATGTCTTGTTTAGTGTTATCATGTAGCATGTCGGCAAAGCTTATTTCATAAATTTATTAAATTATTTAAATGTAAAATCGAGAGAGAGACTATATTTTGGGGCCAGTCTGATTGTTTCATATTTAAGTTATATATTTACGCTGCCAGATATGGCAGGTAGTGTTATTTTGCCTGTCGTATAATGAGCCCACATGGCCTAATGGTTAACGAGCCAGTTCTTGGATCAAATGATTCTTGGTTTACTTCCTCTATACTAGAAATAAATCACACTTCGCACTTTAGGTAGCCCATGAATTGGGTGATGTTGATGAGTTGCCTTCCCTAGTTTATCAATTCAAAATTAGGCACAGTTAGTATCCAAACCAAACTATTGTATGTTTTGAGTTTTCAGTTCCTTAACACCGAGCAGACATCCACATTCTATTCATATGCTACAAGGGGACATTTTGAAAAATATTCAAGGTTGAAACATTTGGTAAAATAGCCAGTCACTTTCTTAGTCAATGGTTCTTGCAATGGTACTACAAATCACTTTATGGTAAATACCATGTTGATGTCATGTGCTCGAATGGAAATATTAAATGGTGAATAATGTGTTTTTCTATTTGTTTTATTTCCATTGGTAGGATTTAGTGGTACAATAACTAAAACTCTGTGTAGAAAAACGTAGAGCACACGTTTAAGTAGACCTTTTATGTATTCACTGCATCCTACTAGTATGTTAATTGTGACGGATTTATCATTCTATATTTATTTTAATATCGATGTTTGTTTATATTAAATTTATATTTAGAAATGTGCATAACCTATACTGTTAAATATGTATTGCGAAACTCCAGCCTATTCTCTAAAAGTTGTAGAAAATTCTCGAGTGTAAGAATCAACAATATATGTGTGTACGTAAACGCCAGTGTAGCTTTGTATTGTTACGTAATCTGAATTTTCGAGAAGCTCTCCACACGCCTATAAATATAACCAACGCCACCCGCGTAAAAAAAAGAGTATCTATTATTGGTCTGCTAAAGCTGGTGTGCTATAAATTTCGTAAGCTATAACTGTGATTAACGCTTATTAATCGGGAAACTTCAGATATTTGACCAGGGACATTTATACATTTCGAACATTACAAATCATTTAACTTCAGTGCATTCATATCGGACGTTAGTACTTTTACGAAAACATTACCTAACGTCATCGGTGGAAACTCGAGCTGACATCGGCATGTGATCAGAAATAACTACAGGGCTAGCTAGCTCTCTGTTAAATGAATTATACCTACATCAATTCGAAATTAACTCGCTGGTCGTGAACCTTCGATAAGATACCAAGGAAGTTCCAGACTAGAAAAAGTACTTTATATTGCTTGTAAGTTTGTAAATAACTCATTGTGTGTAATAAATGTTTGTAATAACTGTTATTGTAAATTGTATTGTTGTTTGTATATCAAAGCATATTTGTATTAGAAAGTAAAACTGTGTGTGTATCAATCTTGTTGGCAAATATCATAAACTGGAGATATAATGGCAATTTTTACTTCTAAATCTAAATTACAGTTTAACTCAGTTTTAGGCTATTAGAAATTGTCATACGTAACATAATCAAAGTATTTCATATGCACATTAAGCTGTCCTGTCATTTTGGTAATTTTATTAAGGAATTGTATTTTTGTGTTTTCTGACGTCAGCTATACGATACATAGCACGATATCCTCTAGTGCTATTTCCTTCTAAGAAACTCCGAGTTTCGAAGAAGCAATTAGAACAGGGGTTGTGAACCTTTTCTTACTCACGCTCCACTGTAAAAAATATGTGGATAATTGTGCCTACCCCCTACCCCGTGAAGATTAGGTGTAGGAAGAACAGTGTTTTAGCAACACTGAAATCGGTCTAACTTAAACGTGATTCGTCATTATTATTTTAAGGCTTTGTTATTAATTATCAAGTTTTTTTGCTTGTTTTGTTTTTTTCCAAGCTGTTAAACTAAATCAAGTACTTAATATAACTCCAGCTTCAACTGTTATCCATACATTTGGTACTAGAGTATGTTAGTATTTATTTTCTTTGTAGTCAAGCACAAAGCTACCAAATGGGCTCTGCCCACCACGAGTATCGAAACCCGGTTTCTTGCGTTGTAAGTCTGCAGACATACCGTTGTGTAATTGCGGGGCAGTATGTTAGTAATAAAAATATTAAGTTACATTTGTTTATTTTGTAATGAAGCACAAAGCTACGCCCAGGGCTGTCTGTTCTGTGCCCACCATGGGTATTGAAACCTGGATTTTAGCGTTATAAGCCTTCATACTTACCGCTGAGCCAATTAAGTTACATAAATTCTGTAAACTCTAATTTATCGGTTCCCAACCGGCGGGGTGCGCCTCTCTGGGACCGCGAACGTTTGAATGATGCTGTAATAAATTATGAAAATAATAATTTTGGAAAATGTTACAAATTAACACTTTATTATTATTTATTTAAACAGCGTTTATAAGTAAAAACCAATCAGGAGCACGTTTGATTTTTTTGGGGGGGAGGTCGCTTTGTTTGTTTTGAATTTCGCGAAAAGCTACATGAGGGATATCTGTGCTAGCCTTCCCTAATT